CAAATAATGAATCAAAAACTTCCCTAGCGTCTGTGACTTGAATGTCAGAGATATAAAATGGCATAATCCACTGTGTGGAAGAAACAGGAATTAGGAAAGACCCATGGAGCAAAGATGAAATGAGTTAGTACCTCTGCCTGGTCAATTTTGAGTAGATAATGAAAATATTCTGTTAAAAATTATACTTAAATGGTATTTCATATTTTCAGATAACCTATTACTATAGCAAATACTATGATTTATACAGAGGTGAATCAAGCTGACCATTCGTGGTGGCCAGGATATTAAGGAATCATCTAACAGTGGACACTAGCCAAATCCTGAGGTGAGGGTAACTGGGGTGGATCGGGAACAGAGGAAGCCACAGCAGAGAGAATGAATAAAATTACACACTGGCTGGAGAAAGAGAAAGCTACAGAGATGACTACATCCTGGAAACCCAGTGCCTAAGGTGTCTGAAGGAAAAAACAGTCTGGAACTTCTTCTTATTTAATGGTATTTCCATACAAATTAAGAAGCTGTTCTCATTTTTTCCTTCAAATGCCGCCATCCAAAACAAGGCTGTGGCTGTTCCCATCCCAAGTCTGACATCACCCCTGGCACCTCACTCACCACAAAATAATGTCTGTTCACCATCAGCCTCAAGGACCATATCCAAGGCTGCCATGACAGCGCTTCCATGGGCCGCTGGCAACTCCTCTGGGCCCAGCTCCGAACTCCTCCTTGAACCTTCCCCAAGGAGCCCTGTGAGTTGCCCTGGAGCTGCGTTCTTTACCACAGAGACTCCACTTGGGTGGCCCTCTCTGTCTGGCCTCTGCTTTCCCTTCCTGATACTTTCCCAAAGGAACAGAGGCAACATCCTGTGAGAAGTCCCTTTTATCATTTACTTTTCCTCAACCTGGCATTTTAAGTTCATGTTCAGCTCTTCAATATTCACTACCCCTAGATTTTTAAATATTGTCTCCTCCTCTTGCTCTCTCCTCCTGAAACCCATCTGAGTGGGCCTCATCACTCCCATGATGACCACTAGGAGAAAGCTGAAGACCCACTGGTTCCTGCACCTCTGCTGTGCTGGTATTTGCTTCCCACCATCACTATGCTCCCTAGTTCTTAACATTATCACTTCCTCTAGGCTTTTAGATCCTACCTTAACCCACCCATTTGCCTATAAAGGTGACAGAGAGCTCAGCTTTTACTCAAATTCTCGTACAACACCATCTAGAGACTGACCCCCACGGCATTTACCAAGAAACTTTGAAACAAAGAAGGCTAAAGACTCAGTTCTCAGCAGCATTGCAAAGGCCAGGTCTTGTAGGTCTTGTGGCTCCTATTCCGTTACCCTCTATATCAAGGCCTTCTTCCACCTTTAAAGAAGGGTGACAGCAAGTAGGCTCATGTTCCTATCTGTGACAATATATTTTCTATACAGCTTTATCTAGCTCATTAATGGCATTCAGTAAGATCTCGCTACTTGGATATCCCAGGTATGACTCCATCATCAAATAATACTAGCAAATAAGCATGAGTGCCTTCTAAGTAGAAGACATTCTGTCCCTCTGCTCCTGACTGAGAAGTGATGGATTAAGCCAGTTTCTCACTTCTGGTTTTGAAAATGAAGCCACTGTGTAGACAGAGGTGCCCCTGGATCTAGTTGTGTCTGGCCTAAGTGCCAACAGCAAATCCAGGCAACTAGGGAAAGTGCATGGGCAATAGATGCCTGCCTGGTGGATACTACCCAGCATGCGCACTGGGAGTCCCCCACTGTCTCCGTCCAATTTCCTAGAGGACTTGGCTCCCATGAAGAATGGGTGATAATGGAACACAGGCTAGTCCCAAGGTCCCTGCTGATAGCATTAGTGTGGATCAATCTTCCAGAATCACAATGTTTCAGAGGAAATTGCCAAATAACAAGCTTCCTATTGAATTGGAAAAAGGGACCAGAGTCCACACAATCCAGAAGTTGAGAGTTGTGGAAACTTGCAATGAGAAAGTTATTGTAATTGAAAAAATTCATCACTGTGTCATTATCTTTGAAGTTAGTGACCCAGAACTGGTTTGACCACTAATTTTCTCTCAAGTTTGGTCGGTGCTAAAATATACCTTCTGCCAAAAGAGAAAAGCCTAGATGCCGGGGGGCGTGAGGAGAAGTGTCTTACCACTCTGGTGATAAATGTTATTGAAGCTAACAGTGAAAACTACATAGAAAATAGATGGCTGCTTCTCCTGCCACTGGCCCACACCACACCCTCCCCCACACATCCCGAAAACATCTCCAGCAAGCCCTTTTGAACCAGAACATGCCAGAAACGTGGAGGACAGAAAAGAGCATAAAGGATGACCAGGACCCTAAAGCTTCTCTTTAGTCAGGCAAGGATCTGGAACAAAAGTAGGATCCGGGAAGCAAATCAAATTAAGTCCAGTAACTCCTGCATTTTAAATCAACTAAACATTTAAGTTAATATCAACTAGGACACTGGGGCATTGTTGAATTTAAATAAAAGTCAATGTGTTTTGCAGAACATTTTCATAAAATTATGAATCTGGAAGAATAATCACTCAGGGGAAAGACAATTAGAGGAGTTGAGAAATTTTTTGGCTTTAATCTCAACCACTGCAGAAGAAAAAAGAACACACCGTATTCTCCTCATATTTAAAATTTAGGAAAAGCTGAGGAAACTAAACTTGCTTAGCCTTTACAAAACAGCACTCCAAGGTAGGGCATGATAGATAGTTCCATATAAATACTGGAAAGTAAACAATGCTAAGAAAACAAAGGATGGTTTCTACTGATATTGGCTTTAAAACAAGAAAATGGCTGAGGTAAACAAAAGATTCTCTCTGCAGAGTCACTCTCTACCTGCCCCTTCTAATAAAAACAAACAAGACTCTCCAGTCACAAGGACAGGTGTGCAGCTTATCACCTGGTGACTCGGGAGCCTGGTAGGGCCACCAATCAACCTCGCTGCCTCGGACAAGGCTGATGTTCAGCTGCAAAGCAACTATATTAGCATAATAGACCATAAAATACTCATAAAAGAAAATTGCCAAATAGTTGGAAAATGCTGCTGTCCTGATTCCCTCAAATGTCCCCCACCCTGACTACCCTTGGTCTCCCTTTTAGAAATTTCAAGAGATATTCACTTTCAGCATCAAGTGTTAATAGGTAGCTTCCAGGACTCTGCTGCAGGTTAAAGAGCCTTAAGTTGAGGGGCCTCCCCGGTGGTGCAGCAGGTTGAGTGCAGCACTGTGAAGCTGTCCACAGCCTCTGCAGCGCGGGTTCGATTCCCAGCCGGCCAGGGAGATTCCCACATGGCACAGCAGACCTCTCCTGTCACACCCGCTGCTCCTCTCAGCAGTGTGTTTCTGTCCATCTGCCTGTTCTGCTCCCAACTCTGTCTCTGGTGAATCCCCTCACCCTCCTTTGCCTCTGGCCTGTGCCCCAGTTCTTGTATAAAAATAAACCTTAAAAAAAAAAAAGCCTTAAGTTGACTGGATGCCATGTCTTACCATTTGATGAATTCTAGACACACCTCTCTCACCTCCCTCTTCTCCACTTTCACAAGTAAGAGGATCATACAGTTACTTCTTCCCCGGGTAAAACCATCAACTCCCCTTTCCCCAGATCAGCCCAGTGGAGCATCATCCTAGGCATTGCCTTTTTATGGCCTGAGGATACATCAGAGCACACCTCCAGAGTGCAGGAAGCCTGGGCTTGGCATCAGAATGCCTCAGATCTGCACACCTGCCCCTGTTACTATAAAGCCTCGTTTGTTTTGTGGAAGAGTTTGGAAGACAAGTGGCTCAGCCTAGAGAATCGTTTGCTCATGATGCAGTCACGTCTACCTGAACTCCCACTTGCAGCTCTGCAGTATGCATCGGAACCTGCAGCGTTTGGACAAGACAAAAGATAATGCGGACAAGGTGCCAAGCATAGTGCTGGGCATCTAGTAGTTTGGTAAAACTCTCTAATATTATTAGCAAGTGAGAAAGAATAGATAGTATAGCTCAAGCTAGTACTGATGCCTATCTCAGGACTCCAGGATACATTTTTTTTCATTTCCCAATTTTTTTTTTTTTTTGTCTATTGAACCCTTATCTTCTGCCACACCAATCAACTCACTTGGGTAATCCCACTGGGAAATCAGGCACAATGCAGGGGTCAGCTTGCACACCCATGCAAACTCTTCCCTTCCTTCTGACATCATCACATCAAAGCATTTTCAATTATCAGTGCAAAAGGCAATGTGTCACATCTGTTAGGAATAACCAAGGGTTGATAAAAGATTAACATGTGACTCAAATGGTCATGAGGAAATTGAGGCTGAAAACAGCAAATACGGCCTCGGCAGATGTCCTACAGAATGCTCCCTTAGTCTCGAATTCAACTCCTTTCATTCAAGCAAGCAACAAAACCGCCGCTGCTTGAGAATATTAAAAGAGTAAATAATGACACCTTTACAAATTCAGCAGGCTCTCCCACCAAGGGGCTTGCACATAATGCCATGAAGCTATCCCACACATAGTGAAAAGAAATAAAATCACTGCTCACACCAGCAAAATAAATCAGCGGGCAGCCTTACAAGGGTGGTTTCAGGGGGAGGAAAGTGGAATTTGCTTGTTAAGAAGCTAATATTGTGTAAAATTTAAATTAAAGAAAGAAAACCCAAGACAGAAGTCCCTTCAGGATAAAGATTACACTGACAGAGAAGGTTCTGGAACAGCTTTGGTAATTAACATGGCTGAGAAGATGTCTGCTGCCACAGCTATGGTGGGAGATGATTTTTCAAGCCAGGTGGATGTGCCCAGTCTCCCTGGATCAAGGCCTGATGACCTCAGGATTCTAGCCTTGACACACCCAGTTAAGTGTCCAGAGTAAACCTCAAGGTATGGCCTCTCTTTAAATGCTTTAGTCCTTCTTAGTCCCTCTTTAAGAGTGGCTGCTTTAACTAAATGGGACCCTGAGACTGAAATTTCAAAAAAAAATGTAACAAGTAATATACCTTCATAGGTGATTGCTTTGTTCTTCAGGTACGTGAACAAGGATACAGTGGGAGAGAGGGAAAGGACTTGCTTAGGGGCTCCTGGAAAGTTCTGAAAAACAAATTTAATGAATACAAGGGAGACTAGAGTGAGTTACATAAAAAAGTGGATTTTCCATCTTTTTAATAAAACAAGCTTATCTCACTTCAGGGGACCTTTAATAGGCCTTTTTAAATATTAAAATCAATGACTGTCTAAGGTCTTAGGTAGTGGATATTTACAAATTTTATACACTAATATCAACTTTCACCAATACGTATCTCAAAAAGCTATAGTCACATTAAATTCCCATATGATAGCCACATTAAATTCCTACGTTCTCCCATTATCTATCCTCAGATGTCTCTAACTTTCTTCCCATAGAACTGCACAGTCACGTACCTCCCTGGCTCTTCTCTGTGGCCCTCTAGTAACCTCCAACCAAACATGGCGCAAAGAACACTGTGGACTCCAGCCCTCTCAGTCCATTGCCTACTTACTCGTCCTCAGGGCAGAATTGGTTACCACCATCCTTCAGCTGCTCAAGCCAAAAACAACAGTCACCTCTGATTGGGATTCTGATGCCTCTTTCTGCTTATCTCTGCTCCCCTGAACCTTCCAATTCTTCATCAATTTTGTCAAGTCAATCTCTAACATATAGCTCAACACAAGCACTTCTTTCTCTTTCCACTTTCAGCATCTCGGTCTCTCAACTAAACTGCTGCAACAGTCTCCTAATTAATCTATTTCAATCTTTCCCGTTCCATTACATTCCATATATAGCAGTGACAATCTCCAGATATGTACGATGTAGATCCATCACTCTCCTGCTATAAACTTTCAGTGGATTCTACTTCTCCTCTAATGAAATTCTATCACCTTCAAGACTCAGCGTGAAATGATCCCTTCCTTACTCTCCATATTAGCTCATATCATACAGTTCCAATGTCCTATCACCTGGCCCTGCTCCAGGCTGAGCACATTCTAGCTCCTCTGGCCTTCTTTTCTCTAGCTTAACTCCACTGAGCTCTCTCATGGGTCATAGGCTCCACACTTTCTTATTCCTCTACATGGAGTCCCTGACCCCAAGCTGCTGACAAAGCTGTTTCATTTCATCCTTTAGGTCTCACCCCAATCTTTTCCTAATTACTCCTTCTCCCACGGCAGGTGTTCTTTACCATATGACCCTATGCATTTTGTCCTTAGAACTTATGGTCTGGAAATGTCTTATTTATAAGTACTTGATGTCACCCCTCTTCATTCCTCCCCCTAGCAATGGAATATAATATTTTGAGGGTCAGGGATACATAAACCTTTGCCAATCACATATATCTTTGTATGCTCTTGGTCCAAAACAGTGCCTGGTACAAAGTAAGTGTTCAATAAAAATAGTTGTTGAATGAATTAATAAGCAGAGTCATTGTACTTTAGGGCTTCTGTGATTTTTCATGTACCCTCTCCTATTTTATGGTGAATTAGCTCTCATTACAGCAAAGCTTTTTCTCATTCTACCCTAGCAACAACAACCCACTCCCCAGCTTTCTGATAAGATGTTTCTAATTATCTTTGAGCCAGAAAAACAGAGCAAAAACCTGTTAGCATCGAATGCTGTGAAACAGCAAATTTACTCTGACTGAGAGCTAAGGAGCTTATATTTAGTGTTGTAATTTTATAATACCTATTTTCACTGCTCAGCAGACTTTTGGCTTATGTCATATTTATAGTTATATTCTACAGAATATGGTTAAAGGGAAAATAACCTCTAGAAAAGAGGCCATCATACTAGATGAAGTAGTAACAATAAATTTAATAATAATCATCATCATAACATCAATTCACATTTACTGAGTACTTAAAATTGCTTTCATAATTGCTTTATATATTTTAATTCACTCAATCTTCATGATAATTCTGTGAACAAAGAAGCAGTAGTAGAATGTTAATTATACAGATGAGTAAACTGAGGAAAACAGCCCAAATGAAAGTTACTTGGCAGAGAAAGGAAGTGAGCCCCCCAAATCTCTAATTTACAATGTGTGCTCACAACCACTACCCCCATTCCCTCCCAGTGAGCAATTACTGAGTTGTATTTTTATACTTACAAATATATATCATATATAATTATAAAATACATACATTAACATATCTATGGTTCTGAGGGGCAGGGATGCATATACCTACTATCTTTCTACCTACCTATACAAAATAAGAATGCTTTGAAATTACATATAATCAACATGTAAGTAATCATATTAATCATATTCTTTAACTTCTAGAAATGTTTAAAAGAACAGAAAATATACACAAAATCATGTATTTAAAAAAATAAAACAACACATGGCAAGGGCAAAAAGAAACTTGAAGTAGCACTTCTATACACACCTAGTTAGTCACGACCTAGTCAGGTAGACTAAATATTTGTCCACTGCTCCTCACAATGGAAAAGAAATCATTGCTACAACATGGTTTCAGAATATTTTAAACAGTATAATTTAGATGTGGCAAAATTTAAATTATAGAACAGTTGATCCCTACGTTACCTTGCCATTCAAGAGCACGCACTGAGGGACTACTGGGTGGATATGCAGGAGATTGCCATCCAGGGAAACCTTTGCTCAAAGATTTGTTCAGCAAGGCAGAGAATGATCACATTTCCATGCTGAACATGCAGGGGCAGGACTGTTGTCCCCAGGACTATTCATGCCTAAAATGCCAAGAGGAAGCTCTCTAGACAATCAGGAGGGACAAGCAGAAGGCACTTGCAAGCCCACAGTTAACATGTCCCAACAGCCTCAGCTGGAGGAAGTGCTAAGACTGAGAGAAGCCCTCGGGGTACACAAGGGGTCTGAACTAGAGCTGGCAAGACCTGTCTGTAGGCAGCTGGGGCAGGGGGCGCAGAGTGGGCTGAGGAGTAGCCTGAAGGGAGTACACACTAGAAGGCCTGGAGTGGGGAGGGGGCAGGAAGAGGAGGAGGGACTATTCAACATCTTTATTACCTACTCAAATGAAGACATGGAACATGGGCTCATCAGCCACTCAGACGTCACAAGACTGAAAAAGATAGCTAGCAGATTAGATGACTGAATCAAAATTATAAAGGTTTTGACAGGCTAGAATGATGGTGAGGTGAAATTTTATAAGGGAATATATTGCTTGGGTGGGTTCCCTGGTTAGAGATGAATCACCAGCAGGAATGAACATTTATGGAAAAAAATCATGGAAAGAGAATGTTTTACCTCTAATTCATTCACCCAAGGGGCTGGTCGGAAGATACCAGAGAGAGCAACATAGCCCAACATTATTGACCAAATGTCCAAGAGCCAACTCTTCCCTCCTCCTGAGACTAATTACTAGGGCTTTTTACTTAATTAAAAAGGCAAACAATAACTGTTCTATGGATTTACTTCTCAAGATTTTGTTTTGAAAATGTTCATGCACCAAAATGTTAAAGGAATGCAATGAACTTCCACCAGTCTCCCACCTAGATTTAAACTAACTTTAGCTATTATTTTGTATGTGAATTTGTATTAATGATTATCCCAAGCATTTGAAAGTACAGTAACTCATCACTTAACAGCCTTGATAGGTTCTTGGAAACTAGGACTTTAAGCAAAAGGGCGTCAAACAAAAGTAGGTCCTCAATAATTTTGTTTCATTCTATGTAGGCTGGGCTTTTTTTTTCCTTCATCAATGTTATAACGAAATGGCATTGAACGAAGTAATGTTATTGTAAGACCCTCAGTAACTAAAAAAAAAGGAACCTTAGCATATATAACCACAAGATTAGTATCACATCGACAAGATATCACTTAACAATAAACTCTCCAATACCCAATATCCAGTCCATAATCAATTTCCCCAGTGGGCTCAGAAGATCCACTATAGCTTTACTTTTTCATACTGAGCTCAATCAAGGTTCAACATTACATTTTGTTGTTATATATCAAATAATACTAAAGAGCCTCTCCTTGGTTTTAGTTTTAGGTCTGGGCTGATGATTTCTTTTGGTGTTGTTGAACTGATACTTGTTCTCTTGGTATTTCCTATAAACTGGAAATGATGTCTACATCTTGATTAGATTCACCTTACAGATTTCAGACAAGAATGCTTCCCAGATGATGGTTTTTCAAAAGCTTGCTTCACATTGGGGGGGGGGGCAAATCACAAGGATCTGGGCTCACAAACAGTGCTTCAAGTGGTGGCCACAAGATCTCTCCCTGTTCAATGTCATGTTCATTTTTTTTCTTTATAATTAGTGAGTAATCTGTGATAAGTTCTCACAAAGCATGAGTATATTTTATCCCACTGACATCTTATAAAAGGTTTTCATATCCATTGGCAATCCTTGTCTGGATCCATTATTTCATAGGGACTGTAAAAACGGAGATTTTCTAATTCTATCATTATTCTTTAGTTATTAGTTGCCATTCTTCATTACTGAAGTTTTTCCTCATCCATTGCAGATCAACAATAGATCCTCCTAAAAATTCAACACTAGATCTTATTTCTTCCACACATTTGAGAATTCCACCAGTCTACAATCCAGCACATAAGTCAGCAGACTTTTTCTGCAAAGAATCTGTAGCAAATATTTTAGGTTTTTTGGGCCATATGGTCTTTATTGTAAATATTCAGCCCTGCCCTTGTAGCATGAAAGGAACCATCCGCAATATATAATTAAAGGGATGTGGCTGTAATGTGATTAAAAAAAAAACTTTATTTACATAACAAATGGAGGGCTGCTTTGACCCTCAGGTTATAATTTGCCCACCCGAACCTATAATAATATCATTTACTTTTGATACCTTTCCTTTGTCCTACCAATTGACTTTCAACGCATTTTCGCATCCATTTTTCAATTTCTTTTTCACAATATCTGCATGACATAATGGAGCATACCAAGTATTGCTATCAGGAGGTGCAGAAAGCCCAACTCCTTAACTGATGCTTATATCACCATTGTCTGTTTTTATGTAGATGGATACAGACCCAAAACCTACCAGTCTGCAGTGCCCCAAAGACACCTGAAAAATTAGAGGTCAAATGCTCTAATCGCCAAATTATGAGTTCTC